GTCCATAAATTTAATTACACATATAAGTGTTTTGTTTAACAAGTTTTTTTTTATTGATCTCTTTTGCGAATGCCATTTTAGTGAAATGATTTTGAGTTATTACTAGACTAAAGTTTAAGACCACCGAGAATTTAGTAACAACTTTCACATTTGGCATGTTATTATAAATATCATTATTTAAAACATTTGTATGCAGTATAATACATACAAATGTTTACATATACACACATATGTATGTATAAACGATATTATTATTTACTATACTTCATATGTATGTACATACAGCGAGGAGTAAAAATGAATATTTACAATGTTTACATGTTAAAACTTTTTTTTTTAATTTGTGATAAATATATTGTTCATGCTACTATAGCCAAAATCGATTCAATTAAAGTTTCAAATAACTTTTTACGGTTTGGCTATAGGATGGATAATATTTTTTATCAGAAATTATCAAAAAAAATTTGACATGTACAACATTGTCATTTTTGCTCCTCACTCTATGTACATACATATGAAGTATAGTAAATAATATTAACATTTATACACATTTACATACATTCATATGAATGTACATTAGACTGCATCGCTCCCCATACAAAAAAAAATCGATACTGTGTTTCTATTGGAATTATAAATTCTATAATATTTTAAGACGTCCACCAAAATATTTAGGAAAATATTAAGATTTACGTGAGCTGGACCGATTTGAAAAGACCTCCAAAAATGGAGGCTTTTATGAATAAAAATAGTTTCTTAAAGATTTTTTTTGTTTGAAAAATGCCCTCAAATGACAAAACGGTTTAAGTTTATAAAGATGCATAAAACCATTTTAAAATTTTTTTAAAAATTGAACGGAATCGTAATAATTTGATGCTGTTTTTTAAGCCTTTTCAAAGATTTGTATAAGAAAATCTTGAATAACTGAACGTAATTTCTTCCGATTTATACTTGTGAGGTATCATTGCAAAGGTATTTTCTCACCTTTTTTATTTCATTCAAAGGATGAAAGAGAAAGGTAGGATGAACGAACGTCATTCAAAGCTAAGATGTGTTGGTATTTGAAAAAAAAACTAGGACACAAATGACCTTTTTTGGACAGAAATGAAAATAGTGGGAAAATACCTTTCTACTGAGATCCCATAAGTCTAAATCAGAATAGGTATGGCCCAGTTATTTAAGTTTTTCGTAAATCAATTTTTGAAAAAAGTAAAAAAACAGCATCCAAAATCTCATTATTTCGATTCCGTTGGAAATATTTTTAAATATTTTTTTGCAGATCTTTTCAGCTTAGTCTGTTTTGTCATCCGAGGGGACTTTTTTCAAAAAGTTCTTTAAGAAACTATTTTTATTCATAAAATACTCCTTTTTTGGCGGTATTTTCAAATCGGTCCAGATCACGTAAATCTTAATATTTTTCCAAAATATTTTGGTGGACGTCTTAAAGTGTAATAGACGTTGTAATCCCGGCGGAAAAACCGCAACATTTTTTGGTGATGCAGTCTATAGTATATGTATATGGCCCAAAACTTTGCTTTGTATTATTGAAAAAGTCTGCTCTCCTAATATAATGTTTTCAAAATTTGGTACACACTTTCTTAGCTTCAGGATGGAGTTCAAGAACTACGTATTAATTGAACTGATAAAATTAATTTTGAGGTCAATATTTGTAAAAAATTGTCGGACTGGTACGTTACAGAAAAAGACTGTTACGTTACCTGTGCGATATACGTGTAGCGATAGGATTATAATTTGGTATTTAAATCGCTTTTAGTGTGTTTTATGCAAAAAGTAGCATGAATTCAGTAGTCTTGCGATGTGACAAGTAATTCAAAGAAATTAAGAACATGATAATTATGAATACAGATTGCAAAGTTTCTGATGCTGTGCAGCCGTAGGTCGTTTCCGAAGTAATTTTCTGCGTAGAACTCGAACTCGATCTGAGAACTGCGCCAAGTTGTTGAGTTTTTCGCGTTTAATTTCACGAAAAATGGCTTATTTAGTTTGCTCTATGCTATTTAGTACTATTCTTACCCTTCAAATGTTTGATTCCAGGACTCGGCATTTTGTAGAATAATAGTAGTACTAGAAAAATAGCCGAAATAATTCCAATAGATTCTTTATTATTTAATCGGAAAATCTTCCTCTCTCCGCTTCTTATTTCGCTTCTCTTGACTTCGTTCCTTTTTGAAATAATATAATTGTCGCGTTTTTTATTTTTCTACGTAATTCTTATCTTCTCAGTGTATATAAGTTAGAAAAAATAACAGTTTTAACTATGGGACAATAACACGTTAAATAGCTTCCAATGTTGCTTGTAAAATGAGCCCTATATTTAACTAAATAGGAAAAAAGGTTACCTAAAAATTAAGTTAGTTCAAAAGACTGTTACGTTACAAATAGCTTTCCACTAGAAACATATTGGTAATGAAGAGTATGTGGAACTATTTTATTTTACTGTAAAATAAGGCCGAAAATGCTCGAAGAAAACTATTGATTACTTGTTTTTTTAGTGTGCACTGACTTTTGAATACATCATCTATTAAAACACTTGTAATAATTATACAAAAAAATTACCAGTAAATAAATACAACTAAATAAGCACGATAAAGATCAATGTAATAAAATTGAACGTCACCAAAAGAACTGCATATCCACAAATGTTTTTTTTTAATGAAAGGAAACAGACCCCACCTACTTGAAGTCCAACAAAATTGACTTGTTGATTGGAACAGAAATGCATGCGTCTATTCTGTTACCAGACATCCGCATCGGCCGGCGTGCTCATCCTATAGCGCAGAACTCATATTTTGACCAGTGTTTACGTTAACGACTGGGATTATTGCTGTTGCTAAGAGTACCTTTGCTGGCTGCTGCGTTGTTCTCTCTGGAAAGAAGCTAGCAGTGTATGTTCGAACTTGTGATGCTTCGAATGTAGATAATGCTTGCGCTGACGATGTTGACACAGGCTCTGCTTGTCTAGCCGCTGCTGAACTACCGCTGAAGGTGAAATGTAGTAAAGTGTGATGGCGTTTACCACAGGTTTTGCAGTTTGCTTTAATTGGACACTTTGATACGAAGTGAGTGTTACCTAGACAGTTTATGCACAGACGAAGTTGATCGGCGACTGTTTTCTTAGCAAAACAATCACGCGCTAGAAAGTCCGGGCAGGATCTAATGTGATGTGGTCCTTTGCATTCTGGTATGAAACACCTTTCTTTAGTTGATGACGTGGATGTGGAAACATGGTAGGACTTGCGTTGCAAATGAGGTTTTGACTGTACCGATTTGGGTTTGAGGTCCGTGGAATGTTTCGCCTTCACGTTTTCTTGGGGACAAGTTTGTTGTACTATTTGTCTGCTTCTCTCGATGTTGGTTACACTGATCAAGCGGTTTCTAAAAAACTTATCGAAATCTGAGTACGAGGGTACCGTTGTTTTAGATGCTAAATAGTGCTCCCAAGCTTGCAGCGTCTCCGGAGCACACTTCTTTACCGCAAAATGAGTGAGTAGATCGTTGATATGTGTAACATTGAGGCGAAGAAATTCTGTTGCGCAGCCCTTTAACATAGTTTGTAAATGCCTCATTTCGGTAGAGTTTTCCTTTGCCATGAATGGAATTGCAATAAACTCTTCTACTCGTTCCTCGAAGACTATCCGTGGGTTGTCATACCTTTCTTTAAGCATGTGTCAAGCGATTGGGTAGTTCGCTTCCGAAAGTGGCAATTCGAAAATATCTCTATGTTGGTCAACTTGCACCGCTGTTCGAAGATAATGAAACCGCTGAATAGAGTTCAACTCTGGATTTTGGTGAATTATCCTCGTAAATGTGTCGCTAAAACTAGGCCAATCTTTTGCATTTCCCGAAAATGTTGGCAGTGGTATCTCAGGGAACTTGGTAGTAGTAGCGTTTTGAAGATGTGATACCAATGGCTGATGCAATTGTAACTGCTGCGGGGGTTGTGTCGGATACTTCTCATCTCTCATATCGGAGAGCTCGGAGAACACCTCATCGTAGTTGTCGATGAATGCACTGTATTCATCATTTGTGAAATAGTCGTTATCAGTGTCAGTGGCTGTGTTGACTATGATTTTGTGTCTAGTCAGAAATTCTTGCCGCCTTTCTTTTAAACCCTCTAGCTTCATATCAAACAATCTTGCCGTCCGTCTGTCCTGAGCATATTTCTTAAACCTAGGAAGATATTCTTTAACAATTTTTGAACTTTCCCTTTGAAGCGCGATGAGGCTTTCTAAATTAAACGATTCTTCTATTCTAGAAGCATCCATGTCTGTCGATGTATATAAGTAAGTAGCGGTGCGGTTACGATATATGCAAGCGGTGAGGCGATTTGCAAATGATATTAGTGTGTAAAATTTGGTGCAGTTTTCTTCCCTCGCGTTGTATGTAGCAAGATTTCAAATGTCCTTTGTGTAGTCACTGATTCCCCTCATGGGCCACCAAAAAATTTTCCTTTCATTAAAAAAAAAACATTTGTGGATATGCAGTTCTTTTGGTGACGTTCAATTTTATTACATTGATCTTTATCGTGCTTATTTAGTTGTATTTATTTACTGGTAATTTTTTTGTATAATTATTACATGAGTTTTAATAGATGATATATTCAAAAGTCAGTGCACACTAAAAAGCTTGAAACGACCTTCTTCCATTACTCTCTCCGACTCATTCCTAATAACTCCGAATTCTCCACTCACTAGCTGCAAAAGCGGCAACCTTGCGCCAGCAAACAAACGTCAAGTGAAAGGCACTTGACACAAGACGAACAGCTGTCAATGACAAAGAATAAAATGACCAAAACAAGAAAAATAAAAAACATAAGGGTAAAATTGTATGTTTGCGACAGTTCTGAATTTGATGGAGTCTTTTGCAGAGTTGGTTGTTTCATCGTTCTGAAATTAACGAGGTGCTTATCATCANGATTGTTGGTAGCTCGAACCCCAATTGAAATTTGAATACGTCTCCGTTGGGTTGCCAGCCCATACCTAATGTCTTGACTACTTCGTCGCTGTGGAGCTCAAGTAAGGTGCCACTGTACTGATGTTCGAGCGGAATGGATTCGAGTAATACTGGGTGATTACTTGCCCACTTCCTCAATTCCATGCCCGCTGACGCGAGAGCTGCCTTCCCTTGATCTCGTTTCTTGATGGCTGATTCTAGGGAATAACCGCCAGATTGAACATCGTCAACGTACATTTCCTCTTTTAACACGTTCTCTGCCAGAGGGAAGCGTTGTTTTTCATCATCGGCTATTCGATGAATGACACTGATCGCAGTGCACGGAGCTGAAGCTGTGCTAAATGTAACCGTGGTTAGACAATATTCTTGTAAACACCGTTTATTGTCACGCCACACTATCTTTTGATAAGGAATGTCATCCGGATGCATGTCGATACATCTGTACATTTTTTGCACGTCAGCGTTGAACACGAATTCGTAGAACCTCCAGTTCAAAATAACTGCCGGGAGTTCATTCTGAAGTGCCGGCCCTATGCATAGAATATCATTTAGTGATTTCCCATTTGACGTTTTCGATGAGGCGTCGAATACAATACGAAGTTTCGTAGTTAGCTTGTCCTCACGTATAACCGCATGATGTGGCAATACACACGCAGTAACTGCTGATTGGTTTGTGCTTGTGGCAGGGAAACGTTCTTCTTCTGTTGATGTGGATGAAACTATTTGATTCAAGTCGAAATATTCTTGAATGCCAGTTGAATAACGTTGCATCAGTTCTTCTGAACGCAGTAAATGCTTTTCAAGTTGCAGAAATCGATGGGTGGCCATTTGTTTAGATCGGCCCAACGTCTAGTTTGGGTCGAAGTGAGATTTGAGCGGCAGCCATACCATATATTTTCCCGTTGGTTGACGAATACAATGTTGATTGAAAAAGTCGATGAACCATTGTTCCTCCTCTGATCTAGCGCGCTCTTCTTGTATTTCCTCTGTCTCGAAGAAACGTTGAACTAGTGTTTCCAAGTGTGGACTGATTGCGGTGTGATGACAACGAATGGTGGCTGACGGGTCGACAGTTGGAGCTGCGGGAGCCACTTGACCATACAAAATCCACCCAAAATATGAGTTCTGCGCTATAGGATGATCACGCCGGCCGATGCGGATGTCTGGTAACAGAATAGACGCATGCATTTCTGTTCCAATCAACAAGTCAATTTTGTTGGACTTGAAGTAGGTGGGGTCTGCCAATACGAGACCGTCCATATGCGGCCACGCCTGTGGTTCTATCTGATTGCTGGGTAAGTCCGATGTAACTGTGTCCATTACAAAGGCTAATGGTACGAATGTCTCAAAGTGCGGATTGAGATTTGAACGTAGTTGAAAACTAACACATTCGGTGCTTGTACCAGAGCTTGCTTCTACGCCGCTGACGTCCGTGACAACTGGAGTGCCACGTAAGCCTAATGCACGCACTGCGCGGCTTGTGATTAGTGTCCCCTCAGAGCATTGGTCTATAAGGGCCCTTAGAATCATTTTTCGACCAGTGTTTACGTTAACGACTGGGATTATTGCTGTTGCTAAGAGTACCTTTGCTGGCTGCTGCGTTGTTCTCTCTGGAAAGAAGCTAGCAGTGTATGTTCGAACTTGTGATGCTTCGAATGTAGATAATGCTTGCGCTGACGATGTTGACACAGGCTCTGCTTGTCTAGCCGCTGCTGAACTACCGCTGAAGGTGAAATGTAGTAAAGTGTGATGGCGTTTACCACAGGTTTTGCAGTTTGCATTATTTGGACACTTTGATACGAAGTGAGTGTTACCTAGACAGTTTATGCACAGACGAAGTTGATCGGCGACTGTTTTCTTAGCAAAACAATCACGCGCTAGAAAGTCCGGGCAGGATCTAATGTGATGTGGTCCTTTGCATTCTGGTATGAAACACCTTTCTTTAGTTGATGACGTGGATGTGGAAACATGGTAGGACTTGCGTTGCAAATGAGGTTTTGACTGTACCGATTTGGGTTTGAGGTCCGTGGAATGTTTCGTCTTCACGTTTTCTTGGGGACAAGTTTTTTGTACTATTTGTCTGCTTCTCTCGATGTTGGTTACACTGATCAAGCGGTTGCTAAAAAACTTATCGAAATCTGAGTACGAGGGTACCGTTGTTTTAGATGCTAAATAGTGCTCCCAAGCTTGCAGCGTCTCCGGAGCACACTTCTTTACCGCAAAATGAGTGAGTAGATCGTTGATATGAGTAACATTGAGGCGAAGAAATTCTGTTGCGCAGCCCTTTAACATAGTTTGTAAATGCCTCATTTCGGTTGAGTTTTCCTTTGCCATGAATGGAATTGCAATAAACTCTTCTACTCGTTCCGCGAAGACTATCCGTGGGTTGTCATACCTTTCTTTAAGCATGTCCCAAGCGATTGGGTAGTTCGCTTCCGAAAGTAGCTATTCGAAAATATCTCTATGTTGGTCAACTTGCACCGCTGTTCGAAGATAATGAAACCGCTGAATAGAGTTCAACTCTGGATTTTGGTGAATTATCCTCGTAAATGTGTCGCTAAAACTAGGCCAATCTTTTGCATTTCCCGAAAATGTTGGCAGTGGTATTCAGGGAACTTGGTAGTAGTAGCGTTTTGAAGATGTGATACCAATGGCTGATGCAATTGTGACTGCTGCGGGGGTTGTGTCGGATACTTCTCATCTCTCATATCGGAGAGCTCGGAGAACACCTCATCGTAGTTGTCGATGAATGCACTGTATTCATCATTTGTGAAATAGTCGTCATCAGTGTCAGTGGCTGTGTTGACTATGATTTTGTGTCTAGTCAGAAATTCTTGCCGCCTTTCTTTTAAACCCTCTAGCTTCATATCAAACAATCTTGCCGTCCGTCTGTCCTGAGCATATTTCTTAAACCTAGGAAGATATTCTTTAACAATTTTTGAACTTTCCCTTTGAAGCGCGATGAGGCTTTCTAGATTAAACGAGTTCTGATAAAAAAAAAAAAAAAAATGCTTCTTTTCATTAAAAAAAAACATTTGTGGATATGCAGTTCTTTTGGTGACGTTCAATTTTATTACATTGATCTTTATCGTGCTTATTTAGTTGTATTTATTTACTGGTAATTTTTGTATAATTATTACATGTGTTTTATTAGATGATATATTCAAAAGTCAGTGCACACTAAAAACCTTGAAACGACCTTCGCCCATTACTCTCTCCGACTCATTCCTAACCCTGCAAAAATCCTTGGACCATGTAGTCTATTTGTGGTATATTGGAGTACTTACAAAAGTGTTCCTCTGTCATGCTGTAGCGGACCAACTCATGTCTCTGCGCCAGCTTATTGTTTGTTACCCGATAACTGCTCGTGTTTTAACGAAATGTGGTTGGAGTTGAGCATTTGAAAGCATATTTGCATGTCTGGCTGTAGCTGAACGTGTAGAGATGCTCCATGTTAGTTGTGAGCTCCCAGCAAGTTCGGGTTCGAACGCCGTCAGAGGCAATATGTAATTTTTAATTTTTGTCTTGGTTTTTATTAATTTCGAAAAAGCATCTGAGAAGTGAAGAACAAAAGCGTGTACAAACGAAAAAATATAACAACAATGCCATTGTTGATATGTTGGAGGAGTTTTGTGCTACTCTGATGTAATGCAGGGATGGAGTATATGGTCCTGCCCTAGGACATCGTAATGTTAATTGGACCATATTTTTTATATGAATTGTGGTTAATTTTGGAGTATTCCTTGGTCCTTAGGGAGTACTCTTTACACGCATGCATGGAGAAGCCGCGATTTTTGCAGGGAATAACTCCGAATTCTCCACTCACTAGCTGCAAAAGCGGCAACCTTGCGCAAGCAAACAAACGTCAAGTGAAAGGCACTTGACACAAGACGAACAGCTGTCAATGACAAAGAATAAAATGACCAAAACAAGAAAAATAAAAAACATAAGGGTAAAATTGTATGTTTGCGACAGTTCTGAATTTGATGGAGTCTTTTGCAGAGTTGGTTGTTTCATCGTTCTGAAATTAACGAGGTGCTTATCATCAGCGATATATCTGCGTTAAAACGTGCTTCTAAATCCGTTCATGCTGCACCCAATACTGCCCCATGGCAGTATTGAATTCCTTTGTGAGTTGTAGATTGCAGTGAATTGTAGATATTTGTGTCTTGTTGTATGAAATAAATAAATGTGTATGAATGTACGTATGTGGAAGAACGTAGTCGTTTCATTCTACGCGATGCTCAGGCTTTTCTTTAATTGGTAAAGCGCACAGCTTGCTAACCGGACGTTTTAGAGTGCCATACTTTGTCTTCAATGTTGCGACGCGAACTAATTTATCTGCTCCTGGATGGACTTCAATGATTCGTCCTCTTGGCCATTCGTTCGGAGATAAGCGATCATCTTTGATGAGAACGAGATCATTTATTTCGAGGTTTTGTTGTTCTTGCTGATATTTTGGGCGATTTTGCAAGTGCGAGAGCCAATCCGACGACCATTTAGACCAAAAGTGTTGTATCATCTGCTGCAATGCGAGGTAGTTTTTGCTTAGTGTTAACTTAGTTGTTGATTGTTCTGGTGGCGGGGCTAACAATGCATCTCCGATCAAGAAGTGGCCGGGCGTCAGTACTTCCAAATCATTAGGATCAGCAGTGAGTGGGCATAATGGGCGTGAGTTTAAACACGATTCAATGCGAATCAACACCGTTGCTAACTCTTCATACGTCATTCGAACGCCTTCAACATTACGTTTGAGGTGATACTTGGTCGACTTAACGTTTGCTTCCCATATTCCTCCAAAGTTGGGTGCGTGTGGCAGATTGAAATGCCATTGAATCCCCTTTTCAGCTGGTTGAGGCACTACGTCTTTTTCCACTGTTTTGGCAAAAGTTCGTTTATTTATTACATTGTCGGCGCCCAAAAAATTTGTGCCGTTGTCACAGAATATCTCACGGCATAACTCACGGCGACCGATAAACCTGTGCAGTGCCATGAGAAAATGCTCTGTTGACATACCCGTAAAGACCTCCAGCTGGATGGATTTAGTTGCTAAGCAAAGAAATATAACGATATAGCCTTTATATGTAGTGTTACCTCTAAATTTCGACGACTTTAGTTCAAACGCGCCGGTGTAATCGATGCCAGTTGCTTCGAATGGTCTCGTTGGTCGATTGACAAATTACCCATCATTTGGCTTGATGTTTCCGGCTTGCTTCGAAAGCATGTGATGCATCTTCGAATTCTCGCGGATACAGTTTGACGGCGGAGATTTGCTAGTGTGAGCTGTACGCCTCCGTGCAGAGTATTGTGGTGAGAATTGTCGATCAATAAATTGGTGAAGTGCTGTTTACTGGGCATGATTATTGGGTGCTTCTGGCGGTATGGCAAGCTTGATCGTTGCAATCTGCCCCGTACTCGGAGCAATCCCGTTGATTCTTCAATGAATGGAGCCAAACCTCGTATTATAGAGCCCTTTGGCAGTTGCTCCTTTGAATTAATACAAGACATTTCGGCTGCAAAGGCTTCAGCTTGCACAAGTTTGACTAATTTTAACAAACTTTCGCGTAATTCGAAAACTAGAAGAGGGCCTTTTCGGCGTTGCGATTTGTTTTCCTTACGAGCGTTGTAGCGGTAGCGCTGAATCCAGGCGTTGATGCGAATCAATTTGGTTAATGATGAATAGAGGTAAATGATTGAATCGCTTTTGATAATGACGTTTACAACAACATTATTTGATTTCGTTTCGAGTTCATCGTCGGTAAATGTGTGCGTATTCTTGTTGAGCTTCGGCCAGTTGCAGCTGTTTTGACGTAGCCAAGTTGGGCCATTCCACCACAAATCGAAGGATGATAGCTCATTCGGTGATAAGCCACGAGTGGCGCAATCAGCCGGATTCTGCTTCGTGTCGACGTGATTCCATCTTTCGACGATTTTGATAAAATCTTACTCACACGATTCGCCACGGGGGTCTTCCAATGCGATGTGTCACCACTTATCCAATGTAACACAATCATGGCATCGCTCCAGAAGTACATTGGTACGTTGTTTGTATGAACATGAAGATTTCTCTTCGCCCATGATGCAATTCGCGTAGCTAATTCTGCTCCGCACAATTCCACTCTAGGAATTGTGCACATTGGCTTCGATGGTGTTGTTTTGCTTTTGGCGGTTAACAAACGTGTGTACACATTTCCATCTTCGTGTAAAAGACGGATGTATACGGAGGCGGCAAATGCCATGTTGGCTCCATCACAAAATGTATGTAGTTGAACTGATTTGATGCGCGGCGAATAGTGAATCCATCTTGGGACAGATATATCGTTAATCGCAGGAAGCTGAGTTACAAATTCAGTCCACTCTTTGCTAATAGTGGTCGGTATCTTATCATCCCAACCGAGCGGGGTGTTTTCAGAATTATGATTGTAGGCCCACACCTGTTTGAGAATGATTTTGGACTTCACGATGACTGGTGCTATAAAACCCAGTGGATCAAACAAACGAACAGTGGTTGATAGAATTGTACGTCTTGTTGCGATTGTTGGTAGCTCGAATCCCAATTGAAATTTGAATACGTCTCCGTTGGGTTGCCAGCCAATACCTAATGTCTTGACTACTTCGCCGCTGTGGAGTTCAAGTAAGGTGCCACTGTACTCATGTTCGAGCGGAAAGGATTCGAGTAATGCTGGGTGATTACTTGCCCAATTCCTCAATTCCATGCCCGTTGACGCGAGAGCTGCCTTCCCTTGATCTCGTTTCTTGATGGCTGATGCTAGGGAATGGCCGCCAGATTGAACATCGTTAACGTACGTTTCCTCTTTTAACACGTTCTCTGCCAGAGGGTAGCGTTGTTTTTCATCATCGGCTATTCGATGAAGGACACTGATCGCAGTGCACGGAGCTGAGACTGTGCCAAATGTAACCGTTGTTAGACAATATTCTTGAAAACACCGTTTGTTGTCACGCCACACTATCTTTTGATAAGGAATGTCATCCGGATGCATGTCGATACATCTGTACATTTTTTGCACGTCAGCGTTGAACACGAATTCGTAGAATCTCCAGTTCAAAATAACTGCTGGGAGTTCATTCTGAAGTGCCGGCCCTATGCATAGAATATCATTTAGTGATTTCCCATTTGACGTTTTCGCTGAGGCGTCGAATACAATACGAAGTTTCGTAGTTAGCTTGTCCTCACGTATAACCGCATGATGTGGCAATACACACGCAGTAACTGCTGATTGGTTTGTGCTTGTGGCAGTGAAACGTTCTTCTTCTGTTGATGTGGATGAAACTATTTGATTCAAGTCGAAATATTCTTGAATGCCAGCTGAATAACGTTGCATCAGTTCTTGTGAACGCAGTAAACGTTTTTCAAGTTGCAGAAATCGATGGGTGGCCATTTGTTTAGATCGGCCCAACGTCTAGTTTGGGTCGAAGTGAGATTTGAGCGGCAGCCGTACCATATATTTTCCCGTTGGTTGACGAATACAATGTTGATTGAAAAAGTCGATGAACCATTGTTCCTCCTCTGATCTAGCGCGCTCTTCTTGTATTTCCTCTGTCTCGAAGAAACGTTGAACTAGTGTTTCCAAGTGTGGACTGATTGCGGTGTGATGACAACGAATGGTGGCTGACGGGTCGACAGTTGGAGCTGCGGGAGCCACTTGACCATACAAAATCCACCCAAAATATGAGTTCTGCGCTATAGGATGATCACGCCGGCCGATGCGGATGTCTGGTAACAGAATAGACGCATGCATTTCTGTTCCAATCAACAAGTCAATTTTGTTGGACTTGAAGTAGGTGGGGTCTGCCAATACGAGACCGTCCATATGCGGCCACGCCTGTGGTTCTATCTGATTGCTGGGTAAGTCCGATGTAACTGTGTCCATTACAAAGGCTAATGGTACGAATGTCTCAAAGTGCGGATTGAGATTTGAACGTAGTTGAAAACTAACACATTCGGTGCTTGTACCAGAGGTTGCTCCTACGCCGCTGACGTCCGTGACAACTGGAGTGCGACGTAAGCCTAATGCACGCACTGCGCGGCTTGTGATTAGTGTCCCCTCAGAGCATTGGTCTATAAGGGCCCTTAGAATCATTTTTCGACCAGTGTTTACGTTAACGACTGGGATTATTGCTGTTGCTAAGAGTACCTTTGCTGGCTGCTGCGTTGTTCTCTCTGGTAAGAAGCTAGCAGTGTATGTTCGAACTTGTGATGCTTCGAATGTAGATAGTGCTTGCGCTGACTATGTTAACACAGGCTCTGCTTGTCTAGCCGCTGCTGAACTACCGCTGAAGGTGAAATGTAGTAAAGTATGATGGCGTTTACCACAGGTTTTGCAGTTTGCATTATTTGGACACTTTGATACGAAGTGAGTGTTACCTAGACAGTTTATGCACAGACGAAGTTGATCGGCGACTGTTTTCTTAGCAAAACAATCACGCGCTAGAAAGTCCGGGCAGGATCTAATGTGATGTGGTCCTTTGCATTCTGGTATGAAACACCTTTCTTTAGTTGATGACGTGGATGTGGAAACATGGTAGGACTTGCGTTGCAAATGAGGTTTTGACTGTACCGATTTGGGTTTGAGGTCCGTGGAATGTTTCGTCTTCACGTTTTCTTGGGGACAAGTTTTTTGTACTATTTGTCTGCTTCTCTCGATGTTGGTTACACTGATCAAGCGGTTGCTAAAAAACTTATCGAAATCTGAGTACGAGGGTACCGTTGTTTTAGATGCTAAATAGTGCTCCCAAGCTTGCAGCGTCTCCGGAGCACACTTCTTTACCGCAAAATGAGTGAGTAGATCGTTGATATGAGTAACATTGAGGCGAAGAAATTCTGTTGCGCAGCCCTTTAACATAGTTTGTAAATGCCTCATTTCGGTTGAGTATTCCTTTGCCATGAATGGAATTGCAATAAACTCTTCTACTCGTTCCTCGAAGACTATCCGTGGGTTGTCATACCTTTCTTTAAGCATGTCCCAAGCGATTTGGTAGTTCGCTTCCGAAAGTGGCTATTCGAAAATATCTCTATGTTGGTCAACTTGCACCGCTGTTCGAAGATAATGAAACCGCTGAATAGAGTTCAACTCTGGATTTTGGTGAATTATCCTCGTAAATGTGTCGCTAAAACTAGGCCAATCTTTTGCATTTCCCGAAAATGTTGGCAGTGGTATCCAGGGAACTTGGTAGTAGTAGCGTTTTGAAGATGTGATACCAATGGCTGATGCAATTGTGACTGCTGCGGGGGTTGTGTCGGATACTTCTCATCTCTCATATCGGAGAGCTCGGAGAACACCTCATCGTAGTTGTCGATAAATGCACTGTATTCATCATTTGTGAAACAGTCGTCATCAGTGTCAGTGGCTGTGTTGACTATGATTTTGTGTCTAGTCAGAAATTCTTGCCGCCTTTCTTTTAAACCCTCTAGCTTCATATCAAACAATCTTGCCGTCCGTCTGTCCTGAGCATATTTCTTAAACCTAGGAAGCTATTCTTTAACAATTTTTGAACTTTCCCTTTGAAGCGCGATGAGGCTTTCTAAATTAAACGATTCTTCTAGATTCTTCTAGAAGCATCCATGTCTGTCGATGTATATAAGTAAGTAGCGGTGCGGTTACGATATATGCAAGCGGTGAGGCGATTTGCAAATGATATTAGTGTGTAAAATTTGGTACAGTTTTCTTCCCTCGCGTTGTATGTAGCAAGATTTCAAATGTCCTTTGTGTAGTCACTGATTCCCCTCATGGGCCACCAAAAAATGCTTCTTTTCATAAAAAAAAAAAACAATTGTGGATATGCAGTTCTTTTGGAGACGTTCAATTTTATTACATTGATCTTTATCGTGCTTATTTAGTTGTATTTATTTACTGGTAATTTTTTGTATAATTATTACATGTGTTTTAATAGATGATATATTCAAAAGTCAGTGCACACTAAAAACACACACAGTGCACACTTGAAACGACCTTCTCCCATTACTCTCTCCGACTCATTCCTAATAGCTCCGAATTCTCCACTCACTAGCTGCAAAAGCGGCAACCTTGCGCAAGCAAACAAACGTCAAGTGAAAGGCACTTGACACAAGACGAACAGCTGTCAATGACAAAGAATAAAATGACCAAAACAAGAAAAATAAAAAACATAAGGGTAAAATTGTATGTTTGCGACAGTTCTGAATTTGATGGAGTCTTTTGCAGAGTTGGTTGTTTCATCGTTCTGNGAGTTGGTTGTTTCATCGTTCTGGAATTAACGAGGTGCTTATCATCAGCAATATATCTGCGTTAAAACGTGATTTTAAATCCGCTCACTATATTTTTCCTTTTTTTAGTTTGGTGGATTCCGCGCCAAAAACTTTTTAATATTTTGGACTGCTACATTACATTAAAAAATACTGCCGGATTGATTTTTATATAGAAAACTAATCGCTGATTTTTTTGTCGAATACTTTTTTTTATTAACTTCAAAATAATACAAGGCAAGCGAAGAGAGGCAAGTATAATGCAAAAAAGTGGTGCACTTAATTATAAACTACCCTTTAGTTTCATGTTGTGCTTTTTTAATTTTCGTTTATTTAAAGGTGTCTCAAGAATAAGTGAATTTTCATGTTTTAAAGAAGGAGATTTGCGTTAATATTGATATTGTCCGATACCTTAGAATATGCATGACCCAGATATAATCCAAAATCTGCGAAACCTGAGAAAAAAAAATGTTCCCCTTGGTTTCGTTTTCGGCGATTAGGGTCATATATGTGCATGGATATGAAATGCATACCTTCCTTTTATTGAGTCTTCTTTTAAGTAATACATACATACAGTGAACAAAAAAAAAAAACTGGGGCGTTCACTAATTTTTTCTTTGGAAGCCAATATCTCCAAACCTAAAGTGGCTGGCGGAATAAGATAAAAATGAAAATGAAAGATAAATCTCTTTTGTTTTCCACTACATTAAGTTTCTTTTTATAACTGTATTTATTTGTACCAAAAACTAAACTAAACAAAGTAACTTAATTTTTTGAAACCAAACAAAAACTGGGACAAATTTTAAAATTCACGTGGTATCAGCTATTTTGCATCAATTCAATAATTTGTGTGATGACCTTTCGATTTTAATACAGCCTCTAATTGTCTATTCATGTACGCAACTAAATTCACTTCTACGGGTTAGAGTTTCAAATTTCTTTAATCGCCTCCTGTAGCTGATTTTTCCCATAGCCCGTCCTTTTCCGTAGTTCTTTCTCCACATACGCCCATAAATGCTCTATGGGATTCAATTCCGGACTTTGAGGAGGATGTGGTAGCACAGATTTTGTGTTGTAAAGCAACAATTCTTTGACAACCATTATCATTATCGTTATCATGAACAAAGAAACTGCGAGCTGGCAAATTTAATTTTTCCGTAGTTTCGGGGAGATACTCTTTAAGGATATTAAGATAATCCATTTTGTTCATATTTCCCTCAATAAAGAGCAAGGACCCGGCACCACTTGCTACCATAACGTTTCCCCCTCTGTGTTTAACGGTCCCAATCACATTGGGCGCATCCAGTGCTGAACCTTCCCTCCTCCATACGAATCCGCGTCCATCGGATCCAAAAATGTTAAACTTGGACTCGTCCGTAAAAATTATGCTTTTCCAAAACTCTGGTGGCTTATTTATGTAACGCTTAGCGTAGTCCAGGCGTTTTTCTACATTCTGCTTGGATAAAAGCGGCTTCTTTCGGGGTGTGTACGCTCTGTACTCATTCGTATGAAGAAAATTCCTAATTGTTTGAAGATGAGCGTCAAGAATTTGTCTTTCCTTCAGCTCGTTTGCAATTTCCACCGCCGTTATCTTTCTTGGACGTATCTCACAATACGCCTTTTTGTTTGCTCAGACGAAATCTTCGCTGGCCTTCCGCTACCATTTGGACGATTTGTGTAACCATTTTTTTTGAGTGCCTTTATTATACTGAAAACTGTGGACCGAGGTTTCTTCACCGTTTTAGCAATTTGGCGAATAGCCATGTCTTCATTATAGTATTTCACTATGAGATCCTTCAATTCTTTAGAGGTTTGCTTATTCTCCATTTTCGGGCTTTAAATAGTATGAAAATCACAAAAACACATACACACAACAATTTTAAATTATGTTAATATTGCAAGGAACGCTGCCGCCTGCGCTTCAATCAAAACTTTAATGTAGATTTAAAAACGTCCCAGTTTTTTTTTTGATTCTCAAAAATGGAGTTACTTTGTTTATTTTAGTTTTTGGTATATCAAAATACAGTTTAAAAAAGGAACTTAATGCAGTGAAAAACAAAAGTTTTATCTTCCATTTGCATTTTATCTCATTTCGCCAACCACTTTAGGTTTGGAGATATTGGCTTACAAAGAAAAAATTAGTGAACGTCCCAGTTTTTTTTTGGTTCACTGTACATATTCTTATTCTATTTACGTGTATATATATTTGGTTTCTTATTAATATCCTTATAATGGCGAATCAAAACATTTAAAAGAGATAAAAAATTTATAATGTTTTTTCTGCTTTTCTTTACCCTCAGTCTTCACCAGACGCCTACTTTTCTCATTAGTCAATTTTTTACCACTAACTCCCATTTATTGGATATTAGATATAATAAATAAACGCAACCATTATAATAGAATAACATGCAGATACACCATTATATTGAAAATTGTACGCCTGGAATATACTTTAACTACACGAATGCATGTATGTAATTTAAATGTACATATACTTCAGCGGGGTCAGTTACAATTGTCGCTTTCGTACTAGTTACATTACTAGTTCCAATAGCATATTATGCTCCAGGTAGTAAGAAATCGAGCTATTGGTTACATATTGCACCTTCTAAAGGTTATTGGTCGTCTTAATATGATTTAAATACAAATAATAAAATTTGAATACTTATCCATGTTCGGACTGAAAAGTATCAAAATAAAGCAATACATATGTAGATACCCCTTTTTACATAACTACAATTTTTAATTTTTTTTGGTTTCTTTTTAAATATGTTTATATAAATGGGGCAATTTACGTCAAATGTCCCAGCCCCCTGAGCGGTGCAAAACAAGCTACTTTTCGACTAGCTGGGATGCAGACAGAAAATGGGAAAAATAATTTGAAAACTATGATTTCTATAGATTTTTGTACGGGCTATACCAGAGGTTCCCAAACTTTTTTTCGCGTGGACCCCTTTCAAAACTTTACTGCATTCGGTGGCCCCCCTGCTGTTATAATTCTAACATATTCCCAAAGCTTGTAAAAAATGTGAAGACTACATCTAACGACGTAAATTTCATTGCGGGTGAGTTGCAAAACTAAATTCGGAGTGGTAAAAATAACAATAAAATATTTTCGTTTGCAAGTTTTAAAAAACAGAGCTCGTAAAGGTATCAAAGTACTCTTTCGCTCTGTAGAGTTATATTTTTAAGAGCACTCCGTGCATTATCTTCACCATAAACTCCTCGTACGTTTGGCTCACTCATGAATTTGCGTATTTGTAAAATAGTTTATTTGTGTTGATGACATCAGTTTTATTTTTATCGCTCCGAGTGATGCGAAATCTCAAAACTTGAAACGACAAAACCGCAAAGCTTTTTACGCCAAACTTTAATTTCAGCAACTGACAATAGGGGAAAAACCGAATCTATTAAAATCGATGCCAAACAACCAAGCAAGCAAAAAGCATAAAAAATGTTCCAACGTCTCATCCTCTTCAAGGCAGGATGGCCAAATGGAGTTTTCATTTACGTTTATCACATTCAGGTGTTTGTGCCACCTGAAGTGTCCAGTCAGCAGTTCTACAAGTTGACTGCAGGCCTGTCTGCTTAATGAGAGCAAAGTTATACCTTCCGAGATTGAAGGCAAAACAGGTTTTGCCCCCTGCAGCCCCTCGATGCCTTCCAGTCATTGACGAGCGAAGTATTCACCCAGTTTCTGATGGTGGCTTCGATGGCCGAAGTGTGGAGGAATAGCCG